ACATCACATACTTTCAACTGTACGTTGTGTAGTTTTAAATGAGCATATTGTATGGTAAGCCTATCGTGACATTCTAATTATATAACAACGTGCTATCTTAGCTTAACATCACATACTTTCAGCTGTACGTGGTGTAATTTTAAATGAGCAAATTGTATAATAAGCCTATCGTGACATTATGATGATATAACATCGTGCTGTCTTAGCTGAACAACACGTACTTTCAACTGTACGTCGTGTAGTTTTAAATGAGCATATTGTATGGCAAGCCTATCGTGATATTATTATGATATAAGATATTGCTATCACAGCTCAACATCAAGTACTTTCAACTGTACGTCGTGTAGTTTTAAACGAGCATATCGTGTGGTTAGCCTATCATGACATTCTAATGATATAACAACATGCTATCTTAGCTTAACATCACCTAGTTTCAGCTGAAAATCATGTAGTTTTAAATGAGCATATCGTGTGGTAAGCCTATCGTGAAATTCTTATGATATAACAACGTTCTATCTTAGCTTAACATCACGTACTTTCAGCTGTACGAGGTGTAATTTTAAATGAGCAAATTGTATAATAAGCCTATTGTGACATTATAATGATATAACATCGTGCTATCGTAGCTTAACATTACAAAATTTCAACTGTACGTTGTGTAGTTTCAAGTGAGCATCTTAGCTTAACACGTTGTATCGTGTTGTTTTAAGTCAACATATTGTATGGTAAGCCTTTCGTTTCAATATAGTGGTGTAGCATCATGTTATCTTAACTTAACATCATGTACTTTCAACTGTGCATCATGGTGTTTTAAATCAACAGATTGCATGATAGACCTATCGTAATATCACAATGATATAACATCGTACTATCTCAGCTCAACATTTATTAATAACAAGTCAGCCCCATACATTTTAGCTATTCATTTTATTTGTTATCATAGCTATCGAAGTGGATGACTGAGCAGTATCCATCTGCAAGCTAACATCATGCAACGTCAACTTCACATCATGTACTTTAAACCCAACGTTACGTGTGTTTGGCATATCATCACAACATCGTGACTTATCATTATACTATCACGACTAAAGCACTTGTCATTGCAAGTCAACATTGCGCAAATTCAACTTAGCATATTGTAATTTAGAGTTAGCATTTTGATGACTCAATTCAACATCACGCTGTCTTAACTTTACATTTTAAGCTTCAGCATAACGTTTTGTAAATCTCTAATATATGACAGCTGAGGCTTTCCATACAAAAGCATATGGGATAATAAACTACGTACGGATTTCTATGAAGCACTACTTCCTATGAGGCTATGTGCAACTTCAAAACTTTTGGGTTTTCGACGATCATTTAAGGTTTTTCTTGACATATTTTTTGTATTCCAGAATTGAAAGTATGAAAAAAGTGCCCAATTAGTTATTAATAACATATTAGCCAGCTAGATAATAACAGCACTTTTTACTCATTTCAGTGGGAAAAACACAAATCTAGTGTGGTAGCATAAGGCAGCTTAACTGCCTAAAAAATCAACATTAAAGTGCAATCACTCCTATATGGAGTCAATTGAAGGTTTCAGTCATATCTGGGACTATTATACTAGTATCAGGGGCGGATCCAGCCATTTATAAAAGGGGGGTTCCTAACCCAGGATAAAGGGGGGGGGGTTCCAACTATATGTCCCCATTCAAATGCATTGATCGTCAAAAAAAAAGGTTGGAACCCCCCCCCCCCCCTGGATCCGCCACTGAGTATAATATTCCCAGGTCATATTAGCAATTTATTCATAAATCTTGTTTTGCTGATTATTTCTGATGTCAAAAGTTAAAAACAAAAAAATCAATTATAGTTTTCAAGACAAGTAGAAATTTGGCATCGCCAACCTATATTCCATGAACCACACATTGATAGATGTTCCCAGACATACCCAATAATATTAGAAAATTAAAAAAGTTGTACATGTAGTAATCTAGGACCAATATATTTTCTCCAATATCTTAATATACAGGTAAACCCTTTTAGGCTTCCCTTTAAAATGTTTGGAAAGCATTCCATTGACCCAAAAGCCAATATTTGGCCACTCAAATTGCAAAAATTGTAAAATTACTCAAAGGTTTCAAAATTATGCCTATTATTTTATTGATAAATGAACAGTTTAATATTAATATAATCTGGACACCAAGTACAGAGAGTTCACTTGTGATGTCGCTGTGATATCATAACCATGTTGAATTTGATATATTGGACCTAAAATGACCATTTTAAACCTAGTTTTTGGAGAAAAAAAAGGCAGAAATGAGCAACAGCTTTACAGAAAAAGATGTTTTTTTTCACACATTAACATCTGTGTGAAATACAACTTGTAACAAAATATCTTTTTGGGTAAAGCTGTTGCTCATATTTAAATATTTACAACAAGATCTCAAAATGAGGCTATTTTGATAGTTTGTGCAGTTTACACTAGATTAAGCTCTTATGCAAATATGTAATACAAATTAAAAAAAGCATAATTACTGATGTCTGCCACATGATGTCTATAAATAAACATCTGCATGATGTTATTTGGTAGCTTTCTGATATTTTTTTAATTTAAGCGGTAAAATAAACTGTTGACACAGAGATAAGTCTTGCCTTTTTGTTACTTTAATAGTGAAATGGAAATGTTGAAATTTAAATAGCAATACCTTAACATGTAAGTAATACAAAATATTCAAAGTCCATGATTGAAGGTACAGGGCCAAACAATGTCCATGTGAATGCTTATACAACTGCATACCAAATATCATTGACTTATCATAAGTGGTTCCCCTTAAACTGACCTAATCAAAAACTTTAACTTGAAACCATGCAAAAGTTTCAGTCAATAGACCATGACTGAGGGGGGTGGGCCAAATAGTCTCTTAGATGAGCAAATGCTAATAGAAATACATACCTTATAACTATAATTGACCTATAACTAGTGGTTCCCCATAAACTAACCTAATCACTAACCTTAATGTAAACTAAGCAAAAGTTTCAAAGTCAATAGACCATGACTTAGGGGGTGAGGCCAAATAATCTCCATGGAAATTAGATGTGCCAATGCTAATACAACTACATACCAAATATAATTGACCTACAACTAGTGGTTCCCCATAAACTGACCTAATCACTAACTAATACATGTACACTAAGCAAAAATTTCAAAGTCAATGACTTATGGGATGAGGCCAAAAATTCCCTGTGGAAATGAGATGTGACAATGCTAATACAACTACATACCAAATATAATTGACCTACAACTAGTGGTTCCCCGTAAACTGACCTAATCACAAACTAATGCATTGTTGACACTGTTGCCGCTGTAAGAAAAAGCATACCTATGTCTCCCTTTTTGACTCCGTTAAGGCGAGACAAAAAGTGGCCTTATCACACCGTCTCCTTTCATCTATATAGAGATGTCATGTATTAACTAGAGGCTCTTAATGTGTTGTTCACCTGCATCTTCAACAATGGCCAATTTTTGGTAAAAACCATCATTTAAGGGAAAAAAGAGAAAAGGCATATACACCAAAACATATGGTAAAATTGTCATTCAAGGGGAATAACTTTTATAAAGAGTCAACCATCAATTTTAATTTGTAGGTCTTGTCTTTCTGATTTTTCTAGTTAAAGTGTCACTCTATCCTATATAATTTCAAGTCATTGACACAATTTTTAAAATAGATACCCCAAGGAAGATTGTGGCCAAGTTTGGTTCCAATTTGCCCATTAGTTTCAGAGGAGAAGATTTTTGTAAAAGCTAATGGACGACATATGCCAAGTTATGAGAATAACTCAAGTATCTGGCAAGAATTGTATTCATGAAAGTGATTCAATACAATTTTTCATATCATTAATAAATCCAAGGGGCATAACTCTTTTAAAACAAGTTGTTGGCAATGATTTTTGAATTTTATAAAGACATTGCTATTAAATTTTATAAATATGTGGCAAGAACTGTATAAGAGAGTGCTTACAAAACTGGAAGCAAAAATGACAATACTTGAAGTCTTGAACATGTAAACTACGCAAAACATCCAAAGTCATGAACCATGACTAAATATTTAGGGCCAAATAATCTGCATGGAAATGAGATGTACCAATGCTTATATAACTGCACACCAAATATCATTGACATATCATGAGTGGATCCCCTTAACTGATCTAATCTCAAACTTTAACTTGCAAACTATACAAAAACTCCAAAGTCAATAAACCATGACTGAGGGGCAGGGCCATATAATTTCCATTGATAAAGTTGTCATTGTAAGGGCAATAACTATTGTTTTATAACTTAAGGGGGAAAATGAGGACATATAGAAGAATGACTTGATGGTTTTTGGTCTATCAACTCATATATGTAGTCAATTGATGGTTCAGTGTTATTGGAATATGTTTGTTCATTTGTAATGACTTTTTGAACATAATTAATCCTATCATATTTTCTTTGTGTATCTTGGTTTTCAAGATGTATGACAATTACTTTCATTTACCCATATGCTCTATTTTTAGTGATGGCAGCCATGTTGGTTGAAAGACCAAAAAGCTCATACTAGCCTTCATTCAGCCAAATGAGATAAAAATTGACGGCTTTTATTATTTCTTTTTCATCTCTTTAAATAAATCTAATGGCTATATTATTTCTTCTTCGTCTCTTTACAGAAATCTAATGGCAATACTATGTCTTCTTCATCTCCTTAAAGAAATCTAATGGCAATATTATTTCTTCTTCATCTCTTTAAAGAAATCTAATGGCTATCATCAATTTCATTTGTGTTTGCATTCTGGTCTTACCAGTGATCATGTGACCTGATGCTTTAATCTTGAGGATATAAATGGTAGTAAATAATGATCTTTATACAAGTCGTCTGCTAGGTAGAAACAGTTGTTTATACAAGTCGTCTGCTAGGTAGAAACAGTTGTTTATACAAGTCGTCTGCTAGGTAGAAACAGTTGAATCAAATAAACAAGCAAAGTTTTCAACAATTTATTGTCCACCATAAGACATGACATCATGACTCTCTCATTCTTATATTATGCATAAATACTTGTTATCTGAATAAATAAACCTGTACATATGTAAAACCTATTTACAATTTAGTCACATTTATTTGTATATTCCAGTTTATTCAAATTTACGTATACATTTCAGTTCATTCAAATTTATTTTTACAACTATATAGCAGATGAATAAAAATACATTTCATCTGCTGCAATTATGTTTGACATACAAAGTAGGTTTTGTTTCATTAACTGGTAAAATAAAAAAAAAATCTGAGCATATTAAAGACTATTATTATTTTTCAAGGCTCTTAATGTATAATAAACTATTTTTCCACTTTTGATTTCAGTACAAAATATATCTCAAACACTCAAATCAGCCAAGCTAATTACTTGTAAAGTTATATGATTTTTTTGTCTACTTATTGTTCAATATCTAATATTCTCAAAGCATTGACAGTAAAACCATTCTAAGCATTTATATAACAATGAAACTATAGTGTTGCCTCAGTGATAAACTAGACAAGACAGATATTGTTTAAATGTTCAGCATAAATTGTAATTGTTTTATCAGTTAAAAGATCCAGTGAATTATCATGCATTATACCCAGTTAACAAAATATCAAATAAAAAACAAATACTGATTTTTTGCATGGCAATAAACTCTGAAATACATTCCAATTAAATATTTAAAAAATTTTAATCTTTTTCTATCATACTTTTCCTCTAGAATTGACAGAGTCTAAAGAGTTCTGTAGTATCAAAACCTCTTCACATTTTATCATTAGTTATCAATTAATTCCAATGTTAATATTTCATTCTTTTTCAGAGAACTGCTTCCAAAAGCAAAATCTTCAGAACAACCTTATATATAAAACATAATTATCATGTAAAAAAAGCACTGAAAATTATTTAATTCAAAATTCTGTGCCAATTCTCACAAAAATAACCATTTATGTATCTTAGCTACCAGTAAAAAATTAAGTAAATGAGTATATTTCAAATATGTTTATATACCGACATTGATTTCTTTGATTATTCACACATATACTTTAAAGCTCATTGTAATATGTGTATACAAATCTTCTATTTCATAAAAAGTAAAAAAGGATTCATTGTGACATTGTTTGATAATCTGACCATAGTCTATATAAAAACAACAACAAAGTTTCACAACAACTCATCATTGGTTTTTTAAGAACAACTCCTTTCATAACATTTTCAATTATTTTAACAAAAGTTGGTTATTAAGAATGGTTTCAAAAACATGCACACTTATATAAATAGAAAAAAATAAAAATATGTTAATCTAAAACTTCTCACTAAAGCAGCACCTCTGACCAAGTTTTATTCTTCTATTTTCAGTATTTAAGACTGCAAAAAGATATAGCTTGTTTATTTGATTTGTGCAAAAACAAACAAAATATAATTTTTATCAAAATATTTAAGGCCAGAATTATCTGCAATTCAGAAAAAATATTTTAGACCACCTCAATATAAAATCAGAAAAGGAATTAAACTTCTTGTCTTTTAAAGCTAACCCTGCTATTTCTTATATAAATAATGTACTTATATACTTCCTGTTTTCAACAGTAATCTATTACTTTAAATGAACTGTATGAGATTTTTTACCTTTTTCAGCAGTATCTTCTAAAATGTTAATCTATATAATAACAATATATCTTAAATACATAAAAAATCAATACAATAATAATATAAATCAACAATACACAAAAAATACATAAACAACATTAACAGTCATGTCGGGAATGTTATACTAACAGAAATGAAGCACCCACTCAGATAATTCTCTCATAGAAATCAAAATAGGCACTTCAATTTTAAAGTCAATGTGAAGCAGTTTAAAAATAATGACTAAGATCTGGACCTTAATCTATAAATTAACAGGAATGGAAACATTAATAAAATGCAAGTGAATGTCCTATAGCAAGTCTACTGACAATACATCATTTCTCGATGTACTTGCTCACATTGCAATGCAAACCAGACATTAAAATTTGTGAAGCTTTTCAATACTAACCAATATGTGCCTACAATTTCAGTCACCTTTAACTCATTTTCTTTTTGAGTTTGACAGGTGTTTTGTCCTATTTTGATCTGTACTTTAAACAAGGAATAACTTGTCACTTCTGCATCAAAAGAGGTCAAGGTGAAATATTTTAATCAATCTTCTTCAACAAATGATATTTTCATTGATTATATATTATCTACCAGTATTTACGATTTTAAAACAGAACTTTGACTGAGACTGACCGACCATTAACTGATATGGAAAACCTCCTCCTCTATCTGTCTATCTTTGTATGAGTAGAATAAAATGGATACTAATTTAAAAAGACATCTTCAAAATATCCATGACTGCGGTTTTGTTCTGTGGTACTTAAAATTGGTTGATTAGCCTTTATTTTGTAAAATTTTAGAAAAAGATCATGTTTCTATTTTATCAAATATAAATGGCACTGCCATACCAATAGATTGAATAGTTTTAATATGATAAACTCTATAGTGAAAAACGGTATTGAAAAATCCTTGAATTAAAGACTAAAATGTATAATATGGAAAATGTATTTCATCACAAAAGTGACTAACAATGACATATCCTTTTATTAATAATTATAATTAAAAGAACTATCTTTCTGAGTGAAAATAAGAGTGTGTCAGATCATGTAGCTTCAGAAAAATTAAACTTAAATAAGTCAGATTTTGCACACATTATGGTTGTTTAATAATGATAAAATACCTCTCAGGCCTATAATTTCATTGTGACGATAAAAAAGGTAAAATTATATGTATGTTAATTGTCACGATCCTTACAGTTATAGTGCAGAATGTGACCTGAACAATATTTCATAAAACTTGATAATTGTATGAACTAAATGCCAAAGATCTTCATGACAACAAACATACATAATCTTACATCAAATAGGAGATTCTGGATGAGATTAATAATTTGCATACATTAAATTTGACAATAGGTATACAAATTTTATACATAAGCACCTAGTACTAAATGGAAGATTCCTGTAGTTTTTTAATTCTAAAATCAAAATTAAAGCTGATTCCAATTTATTAATAGTTAAATGTAATTTAGAAAAATATGCTTAGCACCAACTTGCCCATTCGTTTCATTAAAACATTTTATTTGGTATAAAAATGAAGAAAATGAAAGTTAATTTCCAATTACTGACCAACCTTTACAATCACATACAACAAATAGGAAACAACAGACGACATATGATAAAGGTTCACACAATAGTTCATCCAGATTAGATTGGGTTAAAGTTAACATAGTAAGTTAGGTTGATAAATAAAATTATGTCCATATAGGTTTAAATGGATGAACCAACTATTTTCATTCTAGGATAAAGTTAAACCTCAAAGAACATGCCAATATAGATTATAAACTTATTAACCTATAGTTAAAATATGTGGCAATCATAAATATAAACTACATGAATATCACAAAATGAACCTTCAATTAGTACATTAAAAAAATTAAAGACTGGATGATTCATATTCTTGGTTTGTATGTGTTGTACTGGATGATGCATCAGATGATTGGGATGAGTTTGACTGTCTGGTTGGTCGTTTCGGGATAGGTGGAGCAGACTCGTTCCCTAAAAACACGCTATCATGTGACCCACTATCACTAATGGTACTAGTCCGTGATACTGGCACTGATTGTTTGTTACCATTTACAACATTTGTTTGATTTGTAATTGATGGTCCACAAGGATTGCAATTGTTATAGTTTCTATTTGCAGGCTCACTGTCTGATGGAATTCTTCCACTTGGTATTGCTGGCATTCTGATAGAGGAAGGAGACGGAATAGGAGGAGGTCCAGATCTTGGACTTGTTCCAGGAGAGAATTCTATTTCTCCTGAACTGTTAGAATGTCTAGATTGTGAAGTATAATCTATATCCAACACAGTATTACGTATTAGCACTGATCTTCTTGGAGGAAGAGGTGGGACTGGGGAATTTGATTTAGAAAATCCATCATCTGTTTTCTCTAAGTTCAACAACTGAAAAAAATAATGGAATTATTATAAAAACATCTAATAAATACAAACTTTTAAATTATTGTCGGCATATGGGAATGGTAAATGCATATTGGATTTAAGTATATAGTTAGTAAAAATCATAATATTGCTGATTTATATTTGAAAGTTGCACTTTCAAGTGTTAATAAACAAACACTACTAGTACCCATGCAACAGCTGTTGAAATAATTTCCTCAAAATCTTCCCTGTATTATGCTTTTACCAACTTATTGATTACTTATTTTAAATTTTGATAAATATTAATAATATAACAAGTGGTTTGCTTGTTCTCAGATGTTCATTGGTTGGATTTGATCTATAATGACAAATGCCATTCATTGCTTTCAATATTGTGACAACATGCAAAAAAATGATTGTTTGATGATGTCACAGGTAAAGATCAAAATTATTTTACATCAACAAAGAAGAGCACCTAAGTTTGCCTATATATCTACCAAAAAAAAACCAGTAGTGAAACTAATTCTTCCACTTCATCTTTGGCAAAATTTTCATCTTCCTTGATAGTTGAATTTAAAGTATTTTACTAGTAAACACTTTTGAAGCATCATTTTTTAAATTTGAAAATAAAATGCTTCGCTGGGCGCAGCTTGATACGACCGCAGAGGTCGAACCCTGAACAGTTGGGGCAAGTATGGACACAACATTCAAGCTTGATACAGCTCTGAATTTGGATTGTGATTAAATATTTGACACAGCATAGGTTTCTGACACAGAAAGAATGTGGTCTAAGAACTTCAATTTTTTTAATTTACCTATTATGGTCCAATGTCCAAAATCAAAATACATGGTTAGATTCAGCATATCAAAGAACCCCATATATTCAATTTTTGTTGAAATCAAACAAAGTTTAATTTTGGACCCCGATTTGGACCAACTTGAAAACTGGGCCCATAATCAAAAATCTAAATACATGTTTAGATTCAGCATATCAAAGTACCCTAAAAATTCAATTTTTGTTAAAATCAAACTAAGTTTAATTTTGGACCCTTCTGACCTTAATGTAGACCAATTTGAAAACGGAACCAAAAATTAAGAATCTAAATACACGGTTAGATTCGGCATATCAAAGAAACCCAATAATTCAATTTTTGATGAAATCAAACAAAGTTAAATTTTGGACCCTTTGGACCTCAATGTGGACCAATTTAAAAACGGGGCCCAAAATCCAAAAACTTAATACACGGTTAGATTCAGCATATTAAAGAACCCCAAGAATTCAAGAATAAAACCCCATTGAAATTGATCAAGAAATAAGCAATTTATACGAAGTATCTTCTTTTGCACAATACTGTGCAATTGAATATTTCTTGCTATTGTGCAATACTGTACAATTGACAATTTCTTGCTATTGCGCAATATTGTGCTATTGGATATTTCTTGCTATTGCGCAATACTGTGCAATTGAAGATTTCTTGCTATTGCGCAATACTGTGCAATTGAAGATTCCTTGCAATTGTGCAATACTGTGCAATTGAAAATTTCTTGCTTTTGCACAATACTTATTATATAATAATTTACACATTCTGTTTGGTGTGTATCTCCTACCATATCATTATTATTTGCTTTTAAATATTAATCAGAAATAACCAACTTAAAATGGAAAATTTTAAAAGAAAAAAAAAAGGAAAAAAAGAAAAAAAAAGTTAAAAAAAAATCCCCCCCCCAAAATTTTTTGAACCCCCTTATGATTCATCACCCCCAAACTCAATCCCAGCCTTCCCTTTGTGGTATGGTACCTTGCAGTACAATTTCAGAGAGATCCATACACTTGAACACAAGTTATTGTCTGGAAACTAGAAAAATGCTTATTTTTGGCCCCTTTTTGGCCCCCAATTCCTAAACGTTTCGGGCAATTACCCCCAAACTCAATTCCAGCTTTCCCTTTGTGATATGGAACCTTGTAGTACAATTTCAGAAATATCCAAACACTTACACACAAGTTATTGTCATGAAACTAGAAAAATGCTTGTTTTTTGCCCCTTTTTTGGCCCCTAATTTCTAAAATTTTGAGGCAATTACCCCCAAAATCAATTACAGCCTTCCCTTTGTGATATGGAACCTTGTGGTACAATGTCAGAGAGATCCATACACTTACACACAAGTTATTGTCTGGAAGTTACAAAAATGCTTATTTTTGGCCCCTTTTTGGCCCCTAATTCCTTAACTGTTGGTACCATAACCCCCAAAATCAATCCCCACCTTCCTTTCATGGTATTGAACCTTATGGTAAAATTTCATGGAGATCCATTCTCTTAAACTAAAGTTAGAGTGCGAAAACCAATGTGTCTTCGGACGACGCCGGACGACGCCAGACGACGACGACGACGCCAACGTCATACCAATATACGACCAAAAAATTTTCAATTTTTGCGGTCGTATAAAAACCTGTTGACTGATGGGCTATTGTATCTTACTTGATGAAATAGTAGAATCTATATTTCTCTATGAAGGATCTGGAATTTATTACTTTGCATCTTTGACTTGAACATCTTTTTATCTCAATTTCATTTACAGATACAAATATTTCACCATAAATTGAAAAACTCATAGCAATATTGCTAATACTGTCTCATTCTTAATATTCTATCATACCAAATAAAGAACTTGCTATTTACATAAGCTGAAAGGTATGGATGCAAAAGCATGAGCTTGGTATTTTCATTCAAAAAGTAACAAAGCCAAGGTGAAAACATGCAGTTATATCTTTACAAGATTAATCAAAGAAACTATAACTATGCTGTATGGGTTTTACTCAATGTTGAAGACCATATCGTGGCCTATAGTTGTTAATTTCTGTGTCATTTGGTCTCTTGTTGAGAGTTGTCTCATTGGCAGTCATATCACATCTTCTTATTTTTATATGATGGACAATTTCATTTCTACCTACACCAAACAAAGATATCAACACCCATTTTTAATTACATTTTCTAAGGTAAAAACAAATATTTCTATGACATATTTGGTTTCTTCCAATTAGAAAAAATCTTGTGTATTTTGAGTAGTAGTAAACTATAGACCTTTTAGCAATGCTTTTTGAGTGTGTGTGTGTGTGGAAGGGGGGAGAGTATTTTTTTTAAACCATAGCAATAGTAGTAGGGAGTGCTGCAAAGTCTTTTAGAAATATCCCATCTTGAAAATACTGGGTATATCTCAATTCAGAACCAATTGAAGTTGACAAATTTTCATAAGTTTTGAGCTCAATTAGCACAGAGAGGAAGCATAGCTTTGAAAAGACTACACTTCATGGCTATTGCAACCTCAAAATAATCATTTTTATATAATTAATATCAGTTAATTTCAACAATCCAAAATAAAAAAATGATCACTAGCAACAATAAGTACACTACAATGAGTAAATATTATTACAGTGTAGTTCATTTTCCTGATCAAATGATTTAAAATCTGTGTTATTGATTATATTCTTATATTGTATATTGTGCAAAATAACTAGAAATACATAAATTACATGAATATCTTTTTCTAGTTGGGAAAAGTCCATCTTAATTGCTGTAAGGAAGCTAAATTGAATAAATTACCACAACAAAAGCATTGTAAGAAAACTAAAAGGCAAAAATCAGTAAAATTGAAAAGAAATATCTAATACAATGAAACACACTATCTTTTTATAAGTAAAAGGGAAAAAGATTTTTCTTCTTAAAATTTCTAAGTATGGTAAAGTACTGTGGTGATATATTGAACTGACACATAACTAATAAACAGCCAAATCTTGGACTGTAAAACTAATTATTTCGGAAGTTATCTTTTAAAGATTTTTTTCTCATTTCAAAACATTGTTGTTCTAAAAACCTGTGACACTTTTAACGAAAAATCTTAAGATTAAAATTGATCTTAAATCACACTGAAATGTTCAAGACTTACAAGTATACTTATTTTCAATAGAATTTGAGAAAAGAATTGCTGGGGCCTGATTAATAAAATTTCCTATTGCTTAGACATTTCTCTACAAAAACAAATTCAATGGTGAAAACGCCTTCAAAAACCAAACTTCTGCCATGAAAAATACCCACTTGGACAGTGTACTAGTCTGAAAAATGCTGGCATTGTTACAGAAAAACAGTTATCAACTGACAATTATAATGGTGATGAAAAATGAAATGAGAACGTGAATTAGGCAGCTATAAATTCTGAAAATGCTTATAACAATTGTGCAAGCAAACAATATTGTTAAAATTGTTACAGTGGTAATGCATGTAGAGTTCAGATTAGTAAAACAAATGATAAGATGGTGTTTGAATGAATATTTAAGAATGGTTGTTGGATTTTAACCTTTTCATTTTCTTCTACTTGACATTTTCAGTCTTACTCTTAAATTTCTGCTTTCAGTTGGATAAGTCTTCTTTAGGTTTTTAATAAAGTAAACAATTGCTCACCAAAGGGTAGTTTATATCTAATATCATTTGGTGTCTATTGTTGTCTTATCTTCAGCACGAGAACAGATTATAATTCTTCCAAGAAACAAATACCAAGTTTTCCCATTAGAGAATTTTCAATTTGCATACCAAATCCTCCCCTCAACTTCATCAAGCTTATTTGTAAGAAGACACCTGTCTATTGTAGACTCTATATGTCTTTTGAATATTTGTGTTGGGTTGCTGTCTCATTGACAAATACCCCACATCTCCTTTTATTCATAAGCAATTATATGTTATAATGCAACATTAGATAAAATTATATTACAGTAAGGTCATAATTAAATTTATTTGTAATCTCCAATCTCCTTTCAAATTCATTTTTGATTCAAATTAATATCACACAAATGAACCTCAGATTTTTTTTAATAAATGTAAGTAATGACTATAATTATGACCTTAAATGTGAATTACACTATCAAATTGAAAACTTTCACCTAATACAGCATTGCAATAACTCACCAAGTCTTGCTAAAAATGAACAATGTAACAAGTTGACAGTTTGCATTCATGCTATTTAGTACTTGAAGAAGTTTTTTTTAGCGTAGGCAATAATATTATATATAATCATACCTATTTACCACTCGTAGATTTCCTCTACAATTTACGCAACAAAATTTTATGAATTTATGGAAATTTCTTTCTTTTTCTGCCTTATTATTGTGAAGTGAAAACTAGAGGGAATTTGGTTGCTACAACGTCTAGAACTATAGAAAATCCAGGGAACCCATAAGATAAAGAAAACACAGAGTCACAACACCAAGGAAAACACAGAAATATGCCTGGTATAAATTGCAGTAAAATCAAACACAGTAGTATAATAAATTGCCATATTCCTGCAATTATGTTTTTCAAACCATTAAAGCTCAACCAATCAGGAACAGTCTATCAACTTCATGAAAACTTTTAAAACATCTTGTATAATGATTTGAAGAACACATCAAACATGTCTATAAAGAAAGATTTTAGCAGTAGGAAAAGTTACAATGAGATCACTTTCCTTGTTCAAGGATAGAAAATATCAAATAGCTGAAAAATCCATAAACAAAACAAAAATTCTCCATAAAGGATATATATGTAGGGCTGGAATACAAGCCCATTAAAATACTATAGTAACTAAATAAAGTCAGAAAATCCACTGAAAAGTTTTACACATATTAATTTTCACACAGAAACAATATGGTAAACAACATTTGTATAAGCTACTACACATGTACAGCAACAGAAGTATAAAAGAGTCAGGATACAGGGTAGATGTACACCTTTTCATAAATATATATGCAAACATAATGGAAATAATAAATGTATCTTAAACATTTTTCATGCTATTTATTCACAAACATGCATATATATATCCAGACACACTTGTACATGTTTATTTTAAATAATTAACAAAACCAGGCATTTATTCCTGACAACAACTTGATAAAACTTTGGGTTAAATATTTTACTAAAGTCAAAGGTCTTTCAACCTTACAATCTGTACTTATTAAGAGGATCATTGTCAAAAATTCACTAAATTAATGAAGATGGAAAGATATGAATTTCAGGGTTAAGCATTTGATCCTTAAGGACAAATATCTTTGCACTTTCTGTAATCTCCATCTGTAGGCAAATAACAACAGTAATGAACCATTATTTTAAGGAGACAACAATAGTATATCACGGTTTTGTTAAGGTATAATAACTAAATCATATGTATATGCATGCACATGTCATCGATATTATCTTAACATACATATATCTATATGCATGCATATGTTAAGGGTATTTGTATTTAAAATTTCATGCACTCTATTAAATCATTTTAATAAACTAAGTCCTAGAAATATATATGCAAAGAAAGGGGGGTTCATGGGGGAGAACAGGCACTTACTATGTATTAAGTGCTAGGGATGAGCAACTGGAACAGGTGACTATTTCAAAGTTTACAAGATATATCCACATAAAATCATGATAAGGACAGAAATTTAGATGAAATATATAAGGTTGCTGTTTTTATCATAAGTATCTGAAATAGCTGAATCAACATAATTACTTTTTAAAGATGTGTTTAAAAGTTGTTGTAAATACATCAGACTTTTGTCAAATCCATTTAACTCTCAAAGAAATGGAGTAATATAGCTATAGGTCTATTTTTTGTCAAAAAATATATAATGTCTTTTTTTTTTTGAATATCTAAAATATCTGAAAAGGATGGGGTCTCAGCTGCTCACTCCAACCACAAAAGGATTAAAAGAAATGGGGTTAAAAACTTAGCAAAGTAAAAAATCAATTCTATTTCAATGAATGTAAATTTACAATGTTTTCATTGAAAATTCATGAAATAAGACACTAGTGAAAACAACTACATATTAAATGTACACTTTCTCCATATTTTCTTTATTGTGACAAGAAAACCATTTATAGACTTAAAAGCTGATCTAATTGGAAATGCTTATACAGATTTAGGTGAGCAGACGCAAAGTGCTCAATCAGCTAGGGATGATAGTAGCATCTGCTTAACACAAATTACAGCATGTTTTAACTGTTACCCCATCTGTTTACCTGACACTGATCTTTGTTGGTTTTTACTTACCATTCACAACCAGGCATTCAGTTTCATTGTTAGTTTAATATTAGTAGCCAAAATTATTTTTTCCATCATCAAAGCATAAGTTAGTCAGAATCCATTTTTTTCATACTGAGCTTCATGTTATATGGTTTTCAAACTGTATGAACCCTAATTTGACAATAAAAATCAGTGTCAAGTATCAGATAACAGTAGATGCTGTTTAGTTTACCATATAAAGCTGTGTATAATATTGATACATGGATTATGTGAGTGGTGGGACTATTACTTACTATGTTTTCATAAGACTGAGAAACAGTCTTGTTTATTTTGGAACTCTCAGCTTTATGAAAGTTAACTGTCTGTCTCGTTGTTAACATTCTCACCTGTATTTTACAAAGTTAGTATAAAATACACTATAACCAATAAATTGTATCTGACTTTTGTCCATCTTAATAAAACTTTAGGTTAAATTGTATAATTTATATGATTATACAGGGTGAAAAACTTATTCAGTAAGACTTTTATCACATACAATACATTTGCTATATTTGTTGACACCAATAAGCCTTCATCAAAGTATAATCATGTATTAACTAAAGATTTCACTGAGTTTAGTTTTTTTATTGTATTGTGTTTTGGCAAAAGATGAGTAGAAATATGGCCATAAATAGATTCTCATTATCTAATGCAAGATATAAGAAAACATGAAAGTTTTGGTATCACAGTTTCTACTCTTTCTGTAACATAAATGATTGTAAGTATTACCATTGTGTGTGTTGTCAAAGATAAGACTTTTAAAAACACATTAGTACAACCTCTATAACATTAAAGGTACATCAACAAGTGCAGATATGTATGTACATGTACTACAAAAGTGCCACACGGTATGATAATGAGTGTTAATTTGTTTACCTTAGATGTACTATGTTTTACAGGTAAATTAGGTACTGTATCTTCCTCAATGATGCTTGATCCGTCTGGACCTGGAAAGGGTCGTGGCACACTTGCTGGAAAAGGATCTAAAACAAAAAATCAGAATCAAAATTAATTCTGCAAAATTGCTGTGTTCTACTTTTTCCACAATTAAAAGTTAGTATGCACTTTTAAGAAATTGGGTCATGGTCATATGAAGACTACCCAGCTGGTTGTAATAGTTACTTTTAATCTTATCCTTCTTGAAATTGTAATGCAACAATAAAAGTTAGTGGTATCTCCTATATAGATGGTTTTCACAAAAACAAAATTAACAAAATAAATGTTCACACCATACCAATTGTATCAAATAAGGAAAAGCTTCTTAAAACTATAAACAACTAGTTTTAGAGCATAATTTTTATCATCTGACTTTTTCAGTGAAATGTAACAAACATGGGTAGTAACTGTACATCCTATTCCTTTTGTCTCTGGTGGATTGTTTGGAAATCATACCACATCTCCATATTGTTATAATGAGTAGTTACCTGATCTTTTCCTTTCTGGAATAGGAGGTTTCCTGGTATATGCTACAGATTTTGTCCTCAAGTGTTTTATAGCAGAAGTATCTACTGACATACCACCCTTGGCTGGAACTGAAGAATATCAAATAAGAAAATAGAATAGGATATTTATTTCCTGATTTGTATATAGAAGTCAATAAGTTTTTTTTCCCCACTGATGGTATTTTTTGTTCTCTAAAGCTTTGTCATACTTTTATACTGATAACTATATATTCATTTCACACTTCTATAGGTTGTTTAACATAACTATTGCAATAAATAATTATTAGAGCCCATGGATAATTATGTCAATTTATGTTTCTATTATTAGGGGAATTTTGTATTGCTTCTGTAGAGATGACAATATAATGAAAGTCCACGTCTCACAAGGACAGAATACTATGGCTGAAACACATTTTTTAATATCTTGACTGAAACCATCACATGTACTGCTGTTCACTGTTTAGATCAAACTGTTGTAGAGAAATGAGATGATACTACAGTACAAAATGATATGTAACCCACCATAACACTGTCAAAATAAAACAACAACCATCAAATGGGAAGAAAACTAAATAAACTGCTTCACTGAGCGCAGCTGGATACGACCACAACCACAGAGGTCCAACCCTGAACAGTTGGGGCAAAAATGGACACAATATTCAAGCTTGATGCAGGTCTGAATTTGGATTGTAATTCAATATTTGACACATTATAGGTTTCTGACACAGAATAAATGTAGTGTAAACACTTGAAATTGGTTTTATGATTTGAATTTATATTCAATTGAAGATTTCTTGCTGTTGTGCAATACACTATGCTGTTGCGCAATACTTAGTAAATCTGTTTTCAGACTATATACAAAGAATTTTTTTTTTAACCCCCCCACCCGCCCCCTTTCCAAAAAATTTTTTTTTTTTGTAAAATGTGGTACAATTTAAGAGACATCCATACACTTTAACACAAGTTATTGTCTGAAAACTAGAAAATTGCTTGTTTTGGCCAGATTTGGCCCCTAATTCCTGAAGGGTTCGGGCATTTACCCGCGAAATGAATCCAAACCATCTACTTGTGGTTTTGAACCTTGTGGTACAATTTCAGAGCAAACAAAATACTTATGCACAAGTTATTGTCCTGAAACTAGAAAAATGCTTGTTTTGGGCCATTTTTTGGCCCCTAATTCCTAAACGGTTGGGACCATCACCCCCAACCTTCCTTTTGTGGTATTGAACCTCTTGCTTAAATTTCATAGAGATCCATACAATTAAACTAAAGTTATTGTCTGGAAACCAAATGTCTTCGGACGACGACGACGTGATAGCATTATACGAATGCAAATTTTTTGCGGTCGTATAAAACTGATTATTGAAAAATTTGCAAATTTCATTTATACAGAGATTCAAGACAATTGAAAAAACATTATGTTTTTGATGAGTCTACTTTAGTTCTGTTAATAAATCCATTGGATATGGCAATGAAGAGGTTCACCTATTTCTAAATCATTAACTTACCCTTTGGTTTAGGTGACTCAATATTTGATGGTTTACTCTGTGGACTTTCGGCCTGAAAGAATATTTTAACATTTTAAAATGAAAATTAAGAAAAAAGTAATTTTTTTTAAATTTCAAGACCTGAATGTAAAACTTTCTATTGAACTATATGGAAAATAAGAAAACAAATTTAACAGAGCAAAGCTAGTTTTAGATCAAGTTTGTGTTTTCAGTTGAGTAAACTTACTTCTAACAAATGCACCAGTCTTGAACCTTATAGTACATGTATGATCTCATTGTCCTCTTCTTTGTGAGAAATATGATAAATTGAAAGTACACAATCACAAGTTTTGTGCTGTATGCTGTAAATTTGTAGACACATAACTTCCCCCCAAAACCATTACAATTTAACTTTGGTACTACATAAACAAGAAAAAGAAAAATACTTTGATTTGGCAGTCATCAGTCAATGTCTTACAAACATGTATTACATTGTATCACCACTTTAGTTGCATGCAAATCTCTTCACAGTCTATTAACATGTTAGATCTAAAGAATTAGTATAGAAATCCACTCTCAGACTATAGAAAAGCTTGTATATCAACATGCTGAAGTGTAGCTAATCTACTTCTAAAGTATTAAATAACTGGCACATGTTAATTTTTTTTTTATAGAAATGTTATTCAAGAAATAAGATAAGTGAAATGACCATGGTAATATTGAAGCATTCATTCTGTTTAAGGTAGATTCATGGTATACCGCCATCTTGGATTGTACTATTGCAGTGCACAATCAGTCTAGTTATTTGCCCAAATCTGCAAATTTGTAGACAGATGTGCAATTTTATTGGTTAGACTGTTTATTTATATGAAGAAAACTTGCTAATTTATTGCATTAATCAAAATATTTAAAGAAATACCAAACATTTGTGTTTTAGAATCATTTTTTTCAACTAAGCCATCTAAGGGGAAATAACTCTTTTAGTAAAAAATTTATACTGGAATGATAGGGAAACTTTTTATTTTTACTTGTAGCAAGAAAACAAGTTCGGTGACACCATTTTTTCTTTTTATTTTCTGAAAACATATTATAAAGCCTATCTTCTCACAATTTATTTCAAAATTCTATCTCATAGATTTCTTTTTATGCACAAAATGTGTTTTTTCATGATCATTCTAAGCAAATTTAGGCAATTTTCAACGACTCATAGCTTAAAAAATAGCACGGTGACCCATCCTTTTTATTATATTTTTGATAAGAGCATAGTAAAGTCTTCATTATGGCTAAGTATAAGAAAATTCTATCTCGCGAAACATATACCTATGATCTACCTTAATAATAGTTTTCAAAAACATTCATTTCCACCATAAAATTTGTCTAGGTATGGAAATTTAAATTTATATAAAAAATTATGTTTCAACATAGGAATATTATATGATATAAAAGTGTTTTTTTTTAAATGGTGTTGAATTAAAAAAGTTTTTCAAATATAAATATCTTGGTAATATAACTCAAGTTTCTGGAACTGATTTTATCAACTTGTTCACCCTGCCTATCTAAATTACGTGACAATCTGGTTCATATGAAATGATTACCATCTTATATTGAAAATATGCATCAGTGTATGAACTTTACTCTAATCAGAACTATTTGTCAATAAACCCTAAATGATCCAGTGGATCCCCATTAAAAAGTTGTTTATAACTATCCCTGTAATATTTATTGTAATAAGCAACAAGGGAAATTAATTTTATGTCCTTTACAACAGATGCCTTTGTGAAAACAAAAAAATCTCTGGCTAGCTAAAATCAATGTGATTCCTGTAAACAAAATAAGATATTTCAAACACTCAAAGAGAAAATCAATGCAAAATTTAAATGCATGCAAAAAGAAATAAATCACCATTGTTTGACATGCTTCTTCTTTACAACATTAAACTGAATGGACAGGTTAAAATAAGAGTAATACATGAAAAAGGGCACAACACCAAAAACATTTGGATTACCACTTTTTACCATCAAACAACACCAAAAATACTTAAGCCCACACAACTCCAAAACATTGAAATCATTACACAAAATACCATGCCCACATAGGTTTCGTACCAATGCTTAAATGGTATACCTTAATGACAAGATGATCGCTAAACTGCAGAGACAGAGGTCTGCTACGATGATGATGTGACAGATTCCGAGAAGGAAAATGGTGGCTGTACCTCCGTCTGTCCACCGTGGTAGGGGAGGTAATAAGTATTGGTATATCCTGTATGATACATGCAGATGAGCAATAGACAATCAACTTTTCATCATTTTATTTAAATATTGTTTTAAATATTTTTTAAAGCTATTATGTTAGTACTAATCTTACTTTGTTATTCAAAGTTACTTCAATTCTGTTAAATATAAAATCATTAGTATGTATGTAAGGATATCCTGACAAAATGTAAATCCATTTCTGATGTTTTATAGAATATGGTATCATATCATATATTTTGATTTTTATCAAATTTATCATAATATTTTTAAGGTTAGTTATTTTCAAGACAAACAAGCCACTTTTAAATACCAAATTAATTTTTATACATCAAATCAAGAATTATAGAATAAAATCAAATTTGATTTAATTATTTATGAAAAACAGTGTCTACAGTATTACTATCAAGAAAAAGATAAACCTTTTTGCAGGTACAACAGGGGCAATTATGAACGTTAAATGAATTCATTACATAAATCATTGTTTTTTAGCATTGAAAATGATATGAAATTAATCAACTTCAAAGACCATCTGCTACAATTTAGTAAATGGGCATCTTTATAAGCTTACAGATAAATATTCAAGCCATGCAATTTAATTCAGGTTATGAATATGAAGCTTGATAATCTTATCAATTCATGCTTGGTACATTATACTCTACATGATCAAGCATTAGCTTACATGAAACTATATAAAAGCAAGTCTACAGGTCTTCTTAGAAACATAATAAAAGCTAGGGTAGAAACTAAATTTATATAACAGTAAAAACATTATGTTTTAAGCTAGCTGGCAAAGAAAAACAGGCATTTAGAATATTGAATGCATACTAGTTTCTAACTACTGCAGTTATAAAGTATTACTTTAAATAAGATAGTAAAGCACTCTATAGAACTGCAGCAAGACAAAAAAGACAGCAAAAAAAAGCTATAGCCTAGCTCAGAATTAAATAATATCTTTATGAATGTAATGATAGATTATGTTTGAGTAGTTTATTAATATGCATCAGGCAAAATTTTATAAAAAATATATAGTAAATATTATTCCAATTACAAATGTCATCTGCACAATACATTACTGAATTTCATGTAGAAGCTTATTTCATAAGTATTGGCAAATTACTGCCTTCAACTTTCCAGATGTGTCAAAAATGCAGTTTACTACTTCTAAGATAAAATATTCAACATATCTATAATTTATAGTTTCTTTGCTTTTTTAACTAATAAAAGGTTGCTGTCTTTTCTTAAGGATGTGAAATGTCTGTGTTGAGAACTAATAAAAAAATGCTGGTACATACCGCAGAAGTGAGATCTATCAGATCATCTCGGTCATTTGATCTAGAATCTGATGATATAACTGATGTTGGTACCTTCAGTAGAAGTGAGATCTATCAGATCATCTCTGTCATTTGATCTAGAATCTGATGATATAACTGATGTTGGTACCTACCGTAGAAGTGAGATCTATCAGATCATCTCGGTCATTTGATCTAGAATCTGATGATATAACTGATGTTGGTACCTACCGTAGAAGTGAGATCTATCAGATCATCTCGGTCATTTGATCTAGAATCTGATGATATAACTGATGTTGGTACCTACCGTAGAAGTGAGATCTATCAGATCATCTCGGTCTTTTGATCTAGAATCTGATGATATAACTGATGTTGGTACCTACCGTAGAAGTGAGATCTATCAGATCATCTCTGTCATTTGATCTAGAATCTGATGATATAACTGATGTTGGTACCTACCGTAGAAGTGAGATCTATCAGATCATCTCAGTCATTTGATCTAGAATCTGATGATATAACTGATGTTGGTACCTACCGTAGAAGTGAGATCTATCAGATCATCTCGGTCATTTGATCTAGAATCTGATGATATAACTGATGTTGGTACCTACCGTAGAAGTGAGATCTATCAGATCATCTCGGTCTTTTGATCTAGAATCTGATGATATAACTGATGTTGGTACCTACCGTAGAAGTGAGATCTATCAGATCATCTCGGTCATTTGATCTAGAATCTGATGATATAACTGATGTTGGTACCTACCGTAGAAGTGAGATCTATCAGATCATCTCGGTCATTTGATCTAGAATCTGATGATATAACTGATGATCTGTTGCTAAAATTAGAAATGACAATTCATTAATCAAACACATATATACATTTTTTGGGACTTCGACATTTAATTGGAATGCCAATGTTCATTGTAGATTTCAACATTAATCACATTTAATAGCAATACACATTCTGAGGTTTAGGAACAATCATATAAAGTATCCCTAGATGTCTTGTTTTTTTTATTGTTAGGTTGTTTTCTCATAAATGTATACCTTACATTTGTTTTCATTCAAGGTATAACAATTACCAGCAAGTGCACATGTTTCAAAATCTAAAAGTCTGAAATAAGTGGTACATGTGGACAGTTTGTAGTGCTAAACTAAGGTCATGAGAGATTCCAATGTTGTAGGCTTCTGGTGCTGAGGAAAAATAATATGAAGCATCACAAATCAACTCCAAGAGATTCATAGTTTAAGCAGCCAGACATATGGATAGACATATAACCCCATTATTGGAGGTCTCTAAACAATAGTCTTTAGGGTCATCATAATCTAATTAAAAAATTGTATATTAAAATCATAGAACTGTTTTCATACATTTAACTGAACTTTTCTCAATTAAAATGATATTGTTTCAAATTAATTTGACAATGAAAGCTGACTACCAAAACTACAAGTCTCAGACAGCAGCTTGTTAGATTTTTATGCCTATAACAGTCAGTAATTTGTTGATATATCCAACATCTGTGGTCTTCAATGAATAGATGTAGCATTCTTGCAAAGAATTCAGCTAAAACCTGTGAAAGGGGTCATCTTAAACGTGAGTGAGTTGTAAGCTTTTGTTCCATAATGAAGGCCTAGATTTTACTTCTACGATGAAAAACAGCAACAAAAGTACTCTTCCTTTGATTTTATGTCACAAATTAAAACAACCATTGCCACCTCAGCATATTTACTACTCAAAGTTGTTTCAAATTTTGCAAAAGGTTTTATCCAATCAATGGAAATGAATTTTGTAAAATCAATCATTGATGTATTTTAGCATTTATGGTACATTCATGGTACATTTATCACTATTATTGATAACTTGATTTTATCATATGATTAAATAAATTTAATCTTCTTGAAAATACCATGTTACTAATGATATCAAAACTTGAGATACAAACCTTCCACTTGAATGTTGAGAATTTGGTGTTCCTGGCCTTGGATCTATAAAACTTCCCATCCCAGAGTCCCACTTCTTTAAGTCACTATGTACAGCCTGAAATTTGTTTACAACAAAAATAATACATATGTGTTTTTGTTGTTCCACTTAGGAGTTTCTTGAAAATAAACAAATACTTGCCAACTATTTCTTTTGACAAATTTTAAACACTTTAATAGATTTCATATTTTCTATTCTTTGTTATTATTACATAGTGAATCATGTGTTGTTTGTTATTATTACATAGGGAATCATGTGTTGTTGGTTATTATTACATTGTGAATCATGTGTTGTTGGTTATTATAACATAGGGAATCATGTGTTGTTGGTTATTATTACATTGTGAATCATGTGTTGTTTGTTATTATTACATAGGGAATCATGTGTTGTTGGTTATTATTACATTGTGAATCATGTGTTGTTGGTTATTATAACATAGGGAATCATGTGTTGTTGGTTATTATTACATAGGGAATCATGTGTTGTTGGTTATTATTACATAGGGAATCATGTGTTGCTGGTTATTATTACATAGTGAATCATGTGTTGCTGGTTATTATATTACATAGGGAATCATGTGTTGCTGGTTATTATTACATAGTGAATCATGTGTTGCTGGTTATTATTACACAGTGAATCATGTGTTGTTGGTTATTATTACATAGGGAATCATGTGTTGCTGGTTATTATATTACATAGGGAATCATGTGTTGTTGGTTATTATTACATAGAGGATCATGTGTTGCTGGTTATTATTACATAGTGAATCATGTGTTGCTGGTTATTATATTACATAGTGAATCATGTGTTGCTGGTTATTATTACATAGTGAATCATGTGTTGCTGGTTATTATATTACATAGTGAATCATGTGTTGTTGGTTATTATTACATAGGGAATCATGTGTTGTTGGTTATTATTACATAGGGAATCATGTGTTGCTGGTTATTATTACATAGTGAATCATGTGTTGCTGGTTATTATATTACATAGTGAATCATGTGTTGCTGGTTATTATTACATAGTGAATCATGTGTTGCTGGTTATTATTACATAGTGAATCATGTGTTGCTGGTTATTATATTACATAGTGAATCATGTGTTGCTGGTTATTATTACATAGTGAATCATGTGTTGTTTGTTATTATTACATTGTGAATAATGTGTTGTTTGTTATTATTACCGAATGAATCCTGAAATCTTTCTATTGATATTTTGTTTGTTTAGATTTTACCAGCACACATCTTTTACCATTACAAAATAATCAGAAATAACTTACAGCTCTCTTTTCTTTTCTATAACCAATTTTCTTCATCAATTTCCGTAGTTCTTCATCCAAACTTTGGACTAACATGACCAAGTGTTCACTGTTATCTTTCTTCATTATAGCAAGTCCTTGATCCAACAAGTTAATCTAAAAAAAAAATTATCAAAATTATAAACTAAGTAACTGTCACTTTCCTAGAAAATATAATTAAAATGAAAGAGCCTTTAGTGAGCGAGCTAACATACCCCACATCCCACATAAAGGTGAAAAGCTTATTAAAATGACATGCTGGCACAGTTATTTCTATTTACTTTTAACATACTTTTTTTAACAGTCCCTGTTTCTGCAAAAATGGTTCCCATATCAGATTTTTCCGATTATCAATCTCCTCTGCGGATTTGCTTAGTGGAAACCTTTATCTAAGTTTGAAGATGATCTGACAAACAATGAAGGCCCTATAACGGCTACATAATAAATATGGGATATTTTTTTCAAGTCCCCTCCTGAAAAAAATTAACCCTTTTCAAAGTTTTATGATTATCCAAAGCAACCATAGTTTCAATGAGTGGAAACCTTCGCCCCTCATTTGAAGAGGATCAGATAAAAGATGAAGAAGATATACTGGAGATAACAAAGTGATGACATATGGATTGAGGCATGGACATTCTGAGAGAGGGAGAGATTAATGGATAGATGGAAGAGTCAAACTCATCATACCTTCCATAACAAATCTACAACTTTGATTTTCATTACACAGTAAATGAACAACAAATGGTTCAGAATAATATAATATTATGCCCATTCTAATGAACAGTCCTGTAGAAAAGTGCAAATGTCCGTTTTTCAAAAGACAAATGTCCATAAAAAAAAACATGAATGTCCTATCAAAAAGCACAAACGTCTCCACCTGAGCCAACACTTGTTTGGCAAGCTCTTAATGGACTAATCTTGACAACTTGGGAATGAATATACTCTTCATTCTCAAACAGTTTAAATCTAATTAAGATGTTACCTGTAAGTTTATCTGATCTTTCAAAATTTGAACATTTTCATTTTCTGATGGATGTAACCTTGTAACTTCTTCAGAGAAAAATGCCTAAAATTACAAAATTTTACTGCATATAACAATGAAATGATAACCTACAAATTACAAAATTCAGCTATAAATTACATTATAATGATATATAAAGTTACAACAATCTAATCATTCTCATGATTGAATGTCATCTACACAGAAAAAAATAATAAAGAACAAATACAGTCCTTTAAATTAGACATTTGAAATTACTGGCCCCAAGTGCTCACACCTTACAACTCATCACTGCCAATCTGCTGACTAAATATGAAGCAATTTTGTTCAGTAGTATTTGAGAAGAGTGTGATGAAAATTTAAAGTTCATTCAATATATTAGAAAACTCAAAATATTGGCAAATAGAAAGTAAAAATCTGACAAATCTCAAAAGTGCTACCATGTTACAATTCATCACTTTCAAGTTTCTGAACAAATATGAATTTGTTCTGTTTAGTAATACTGAAGAAAAGTGTGATGAACATTTTTAAGTTCATTTAAAAACCTGATCATATTCTTTTTATCACATATTTCTCAAATGGCTTTTACTGAGACTTATTTTGGTATTGTTTTGTGATGATATGGGTAATGCGACTTTACTTGGGTTGTGAGTTTCATACTTTGCTGACATCGAACATTACCAAGTACATTTTTATTAGCACCATATAAACAGAAAGTCCTGAATTATTTTGTAATAAATGATAAATTTGAATAATTTTGGATATGGCAGACCAAAATAGGTATATGCAGGAATATTATAGACAAATGTTAATGTTTGATGTAGATGTTATTTTGCCACTTGCCAAACAAATATGTACAAATACAAATGTATTTATATACTAAACTCCTAATTACCTCCTGATATTTTGGTATGCCTCCCTGGACTTGAGCTGTTATCATGCCATTAAGTTGTCTGGATAAATCTTTCATGTTGTTGTCACTACAACTTCTACGACAAGTTTCAATGCTGACTTGTAACTCATGACAGGCACTGTTTACAGCATTGATAGCCGTGGCAACAGGACTAAATATTTTTGTATCACTCTGTATGACTTCATACCATTGTAATATACCAGGAAATTTATGGTTTGTTTTCATTACAGTTCTTTCTGTACACAATGTCTGTAAATGTAAAGATATATTTTTAGCCATAAGTATTATTCGAGGAACCTATCAATGTTTAAATGTTGAAATACTGCAATTTCTCATTGAAATAAATTTGGTACTTTATCATGAAAATAAAAGTATGACTCACTCTGGTAACACCAAGAAACTGATCATTATTAAATTTAACGTTGAAACAAATGAAAAATGTGAAAGGAATTAATTAAAAACTTGGCTGTTTTTTACAGGTTAGCAGTTTTAATTGGTTTAAATTTACATTAGTATAGTTAATTGATGATTAAAAGGTACCTATCCAAAAAATAAGTGACTTTAAAATTAGTGCATTTTTTTAATTTATCAAATGTTATATCAAGATTACCTACTTTGCCATTTACTAATTTGTAAGCTAACGTAACATCAGTTTACTGATGTTTTACTTATATTGGGACTACATATGATTTTTTGGTCACTCAAAATTTCTCTGACCTGATTATAAGAGGTTTTTTTTAACATTATGAAACATGTAATTAAATGCATTGCTCTTTAACTCTCATTAATTTTGTACTTACTTTGAACTCATTATCTCTATCTTTTTTTCCTTGATGATATGATCTGTCCATCTGAAATGTGTCCACATCATTACTTTCATAAAATTTTTCCACTTCTCTTGGTACTTTCTGGTCAGAGGAGTAAGCATTCTTTGGATCAGGTACAGGTTTCACACCACTTATTTGTATGTCTATTATTCAATTAAGGTTTTATAACTGAAACTTTGTAGGATGACAGAATATTACCTCAGAAAAGGAGATGTGGTATGTGCAATAAAAAGTTATTCAATGTGAGAAAAAAACTAATGAGTTTGTAAGCTACACATTAGGAGAGCTAAAAATACAAATTCTATGTCCAACATCAGTGGATACTTATAAATGTGACAGAAACTGTATAAAGCTAATATGAAAGGATACATTGTGCTTCTCCATATTTTTTACTTTCTTCCACAGGATTGTTGGTCTTTAGTATTTCTGCTGACGGGAACTCTTGTGTCAACTGATTTATTATGTCCTGAAGTTTCAGACATTCATCCCCTCTATAGATAAATGCTTTATTCTGGAAAAGAATTATTACCTTGCCAATAAATAAGGTAATGATTAACAATATTGTGACAACATTTCATAGATAAGATAATAATTTACCTTATCGCACCTTGGGTAAATTAGTGACATTATGTCATGTCATGTGGTGACACCCTATGGATCCGTATGGGTCAGTAAATTTCCTATGGGGTTCATGACATGACATCTAATATTAATGGTGAAGTCATCTATTAATGTTATTGTATTTCATTGTTTCTTTTTTTACAAAACTTGGCAGAAAAAGTCCTGTGTGGGTTAAATTTTGTTATAAGGTTCACTACTGACCCCCTACGGATCTATAGAGGGTTAGTAAAATCCGAAGGGGATTCAGCTAAATTCAGCCTCACCCCCTATGAATTTAACTAACCCTCTATGCATCCGTAGGGGGTCAGTAGCAAACCATATAACTTATAATATTATGACCAACACTTTTATATGGAATTACAAGAATTTTCTCTTTGAAAAAAATAAACGAATTTTCACAATGATTAAAGGATTATTTAGAAACATTAACATTAATATAAAAATAAAGAGATGAGGTATGATAACCAATAAAACAACTTTCCACCAAAGACGAAAGAATGATGATGTAAAAGTGTAGTTGCATGTGGCAAATTAGTTTGAGAGGGGATGACAAAAATGTTTTGAGCCGATGGTGGCCATCTTTGATAACAGTGGGTGCAGCAAATTATATTTTTTAATGGTAACCACAAACTTTTCAAGCAAATATTGGTTTGAATTCCGATAAGAAAATAGGAATGTTAAAAACTCATTGAAAGTCAGAGCTGCTAAATATCAGTACATTAAAGTATACAAAATTTTTGTACTCCCTTCTTAATTATATATCAGAAACCATGATATGTGAGTGTGTAGAAATAAAAATATGTGAAAAGAGAAAGTATGATAGATCACCTGTACAAATGGAGGAAAAGACATGCCATAATATGCCACTCTAAAGTATGAAGATTGTTGTCTTGGATAAAACTTTGGTTGTTCCTGGCTAGAAGTTCCAGTTTCATTTACTTGTACCCCATCTAAAATCTTGGTGAAAAATGATGCTTCTCTTTGCTGAAAGACAATACAACTCCTTTAATATTAATGTACATCTGGTCAAAGAAATAAAATTTAGAATAAAACACTTTTGAAAATTAATTCTCTCCTTTTGCTTATGTTCTGTTGTTATGTAAGTTTATCATTTACATAGAAACAATCAAAGTGCTTGTAAGCACTGAAGGGTAAAGATTGCTTTAATTTATCAGTGGGAAGTAAAATTAAACATTGCATTGTATAAAGCATTGGTTGTAGTTGATTGAACTACAATTATGGACAAAGGAAGATAACTCCAATTTTAAAGATTACTTGAACAATGACATCATTGATATTTTTAGAACAGATAATAGATTCCTGCACCTTGCACAAGTTGTTATTTTCTTGACAAGTATAACATCATTTTGTAACTTGAATATCTGAGCATATATTTCATTGATAAATTACTGGAAATGTTCATGGATAGGATGTTTAGAATGTTATGATCAATGCACTATATTTTGTGTATCTCAAAAGTAGTGATAAACCTTGGGAGATTAGATATCAAGTCAGTACCATAGGGTTTTGATTGCATTTCAAGCAATCTTTACCCAAAAAATCAAAAAAATTATTCTTCATGTTTTTTTTTTTTCTTTCTCCCTAAAGGCAACAAATTGCAAACTCAATATAATACAATGTATGCCTTTAAAAGGGATATACCATTTTTTTTTACCCATTGAAATCCTTCATTTGGTATTACACAAGAGAAAATGATTCCTATCTATATGTATGTTTGTAGGAAACATAATTATATCATTATTTAGAAATAAAGTTATCTTACATACATGTAATTTTAACTGTGTAATACTTACTAAAATCTCACTCAGTTTTCTGTACATCAACCTACTTTCATAGTAACTCGCTAAATCTTTACAAACTGGTATACCATACTCCCATAACTGAAAATGACAACATTAACTAAAATTTGAATGAGACCAATTCATTATCTAAAGAAGTATAAAAGATAATGATTGCTTAAAGAAATCTTATGTAGCAAAGTGGGACACATCAAATTAGAACACAATTTTTTTTTACAGCTACACAGGTTATAAAGTGACATGAACCTGTTGATAGAAAATTTGAAATTGAAATAATTTTCTGATTATTATATTACTAAATGTAAATTACATAAAGTATCATGGCTTTATCTGCAATAATGATTTCTATTTTTAAGAATTTTTCAAGTTTGCAAATTTAACCTTTAAATGAAAGGTGTACCCATTTAGAGAAGTTTTCCAAGCACAGAGTTCACTGGATATACCGGTAAAATGAAAGCTAAAATACAAATTGATAACATTAAACCAATATTAACATTTAAAAAATTATTTCCATCTGATTGGATGGCCACAACTATAAATGCTTCTTACCTTTCCTTTATCAAAACATTCAATAATTTCCTTGAGTAATTTTTCTTTCCTTTCACACTGTGGTTCTGGATGAAATCCCATTTCACTGTGGATTTCATCACTTTTCCATTCCAATAACTGTACATATAATTGAAGTGTAAGTCCTGCTTCTACATAATTTCTGGATGAACAATGAAGGTCATACAATTTCTTGATATATTGTGTGTACATTTCTCGTCTCTTATCTTTATTGTCCCGATAGAAATTCTGAAGAGTTAAAAATTCAAAATGAAATATTTCTTGAAGTTTACAGAAAGTTGAAGTAAAAAAAATCTGTAGCTGAAAATATCGTAACATTAGTATAGTTTAAGAATTCTCATTAAAGTAAGAAGCTGTATGAACAGTGACTACATATGGGAAAACATTACTGAAAATGACATCAGTAACTTTTAATAATTCTGAACTAGTCTTCACACCTACATTATGACTTCATTTTTTTCACTGTTGTAACTTGTTCTAAAGATAAGCATCAGTCATCATTAGGAATCAATATTTATCTACCTTTTCATCATCAAATAGTTAAATGATCAATTATTGATTCTGTCCATTATGTTGGTCTTTGGTCATGATCCATGATTACAATATAGAAATCAATTTCAATTTTTTTCATGTAAATTAATAATATTTATGGGCATTAGTTTCAATATTTCAGGTACAAAGTTACCTATCATTTGTCAGTTAAAAATACATAAAAAGGGTAATGGAAATCACCAATATTCAACTCCTCTGAAAAAAATCAACGTAAAGTCAAAGAAGAAGAACAACAAGCACACATGATTCAAACAGCCTGACTTGGTACAGGCACAAAATGTGGTTGGATTTAACCAGTTCTACATAAACCTCCCTTGCTAGTACTTAACAAATTGAATAAATGCAAATACAAAAAATTATTCCTCACTAAGGCCTTGCATACACCTATGAAATTAATAATACTAATTACCCAGCAAACAGTAACTTTCCTTTGAGCTAAGAAGTTTAGGAACACGTCCATCATCTTCTTGCTGAATTAAGAGGGTCCAGGGGGTAATGCATGAAATTGATGAAGGTGCTTGCACTCTTATTTTTTTTGGCTATGTTTTTTTATAAGAAGCCAATATAAACGGCAAAGTTTTTTTTTTAACAAAAAATGAAAAAAATGAAAAAGAGATAGTGAATATAACTGAAAGTAATAAATTTTTATCAATAAAATATTTTTTTTTTTCATCTATTTCATTATTCAAACAATAATTACATAAATCTTTTCAGTTTATTTTTTCATTTGATATTTATTTGTCTGTGAGAAATTCTTGTCAGACAAAAGTGATCTTTTATCAATAAAGAAATGTCAACGAGGAAGTAAAACCATCCACACAAGTACAATAATAACTGGATTGAACATATCTCATTATTCAGCTGAGCAAGATCCAAACAATGCTTCAAATAATGATGCCTATTTTTAACCATTGATATGGTTAGTTAACTATTGACAAACAGGGAACAAACAACAAAGTTATCTTATCTGCCATTCAAACAGGTGTACATGTTTTTTTCTTCAAACATTTTAATCAATAATGGGGTTAATGATGGAACTGCATAAACAAGCTTCTGATCAACTATGGGTCACTGATCTGTTTTTCTAGGTTATGATGTAGTTTAAGCCACTTGAAAGTATATAAAGCCTCAAGAATTATTACTGGATGATCACAAAAAAAAAGAAAGTTGTATCTTGTCAGAGAAGAATTTAGTTAGTACACATCTGAATTACATTCAGTGTTTTCCTTAAAATATTTATGCATAGTTTGGCCCCACCCTTTAAAACTGATTCCCCTATATCTCCCTATAAAAGCCCAGATCCTTCAAAATTCATGATCACATCCTGTCAGCCATTCAATTTTTTTTCTAGGGAAAACGCTAAATCTTTACCCAAACAACCAACACAATTTATTTTCCTTCTCTGTGTTTTAACATTATATAAACATGACTTTGAAATAAATGATAAAGAACTGGACACTCATCTTTATCATCCAGAATTTATCTTCCAAACTTATTTTCTATGTATCTCTTTGTGAAGCTTTCTACATTGTAATATTAATAAGAAACACAATTGAATTCCAAAAAAAAATGCAGTTGCTAAAGATTATGTCACCTCTTTCTTTTACAGGATGAAAAGTCTATGTGTTAATAATTAATTTTCTTGTAACTGTTCAAGGGGCCTCGCTGTGTGTGTGTGGTCTAAGTAGGTAATCTACAGTGATCACTAGACTGTCAACTCTGAGGTTGTGAATTGAACCTATCTTGTGGCGAGGTGTGTTTGAATCCTATCTTTATAATTGACAAGGGCACTGAAAGTGGTGCTAAACACCAACAAATAACGTCAAACTGGTTTTACCACCCAATATCTTAAATAATTCTTGACCAAGTTAAAAAAATTGACCCTTTGAAAGGAAAGTGGGTAACAGATGTATGGTTTACGCTTTAATTTCTCACTTAACAGTCAAGTAATGGGATGGAACCATTAGCTGTCTTGTATATAATGGTAAGAGTTAAACAAACTGTGATCAAATTATAAAAGCTAGAAAATAGATATTGTAGTTTTATAGGTATGATTGACAGCATGAGATTAAAAGACTAATGGATAATTACGAACATGTCATGATCACATAACTGAAACTTATTAATGCAGTTTTATTTTGGGAATGTTAGTTTCATTTCAATAAACTAAAGACGTGTTAAACAAAAAGGGAAGAAATTGTATTAACCCAGGACATAAATAGTTGCTAAATTTGGAATTTAAAGACTTACTTGACAAAACTGATGAGTACAAAAACAACTTCACGAAGATTTTATTTCTTTCAATATTGTAGAAGATTGGATTTTTATTTGCTTTATCAATTATCTGTTCTATAAACAGAAGTTTCAATTTCTTTTGAGGAGAAATAAACCAAGATTTTAACTTACAAAAGATTCCTATGAAACAAAATCAGATGATTAAGAACAAAGCTTAAAATTTTACAGTGTTTTTAAACTATAAAAATTTGTTAACAAAGAGCGTGAAACAATCAAAGAGCTTTATAACTGATACATGAGAAGATAGAACTGTATCTAGATTTCTATACCCAATACACTATTGAAGTGTATCCCAAATGTTATTACTATCAATTAAACAAAGAGATTTCCACTAACAAGAACTAAAATCGCTGCTTCTAGAAATCTGAACAGAACAGATCCTCCCAAAAAACATCTGTATGCACATCTGTATGTTAGGACAATGGTTCATAAACAATTTAACAACAGAGATGCATGAAAAAGTACAGGTTCTACAATTTTAAAAATTGTTGAAAGAAATGGTAATACCAATTTTAATTAAATATGCCCAATGCAGTTTTTTAATCATCTGTAATAAAAATCATAGAGCACAAACAAAAGCCTGTGTGAAAGCAGATATATTTTTTTCATGCAGAAAACACTTACAAAAATATTGAATGTACTCTGAATGCATGTTTTTGTCTTGTACAGAAAAAACTAAATAGAATATTGAATGTACACTGCATGTTTGTCTTGTATGTAAACTGCATACAAGTGCCATGTACAGAAAATACTTACAAGAATATTGAATGTACACTGTGTATATGAGTGTCTTGTATGTAAACTGCAAACAAGTGCCTTATACAGAAAATACTTACAAGAATATTGAATGTACACTGCACGTTTTTGTCTTGAACAGAAAATACTTACAAGTATATTGAATGTACACTGCATGCGCTTGTCTCTGTTCTCTTCTCCATCATAATTTTGTCTGTAAAAGAAAAAAATTAATTCTCATGATCTAAACAAGTAAAACTGTGAGCTACTGCTCACTGATGATACCCCCGCCGAAATATTTCGGTAAACAGGAAGTTGTTGAGTGATGAATCTGAAAACGCATCACACTGTATAGCTGACTTATATAAACCCTGAAACCAAATTTCAGAAATCCTTGTCAAGTAGTTCCTGAGAAAATGTGACAAAAATTTTCAACTTGGCTATCATGTGTAAAATAATACAAGTGTTCGGTTAACAGGAAGTTGTTAAGTGATGAATCTGAAAACGCATCACAAGGTGTAACTTACTTATAAAAACCCTGAAACCAAATTTCAGAAATCCTTGTCAAGTAGTTCCTGAGAAAAATGTGACAAAAATTTACAACTTGGCTATCATGTGTAAAATAATACAAGTGTTCGGTAAACAGGAAATTGTTGAGTGATGAATCTGAAAATGCATCACACAGTATAGCTGACTTATATAAACCCTGAAACTAAATTTCAGAAATCCTTGTCAAGTAGTTCCTGAGAAAAATGTGACGAAAATTTTCAACTTGGCTATCATGTGTAAAATAATACAAGTGTTCGGTAAATATTCATGGGACGGACGGACTGACGGATGGACTGACGGATGGATGAATGGACAGACGGAAGGACAGACAGAGGTAAAACAGTATACCCCCACTTTTTTAAAGCAGGGGTATAATAATGGTTCTGACCTACTGATACAATCTACATGTCACATACTTAACTGTCTTTCAGTTTCTCTGTGAAAATAAATCATATATTGATTTCATCAGCAGAATAGTAATTTTTATCCGGGAAACATTTTAAATATGAGGAGATATATACCTCTAAGCTGGAGGATTGCATGCATCTTAGCAACAGACATCTGATTGTATGGGAAATCATAGTTCAATTCACTAACAGAGGGAAAACATTGAATTTCAAAGAAGATCTATTTAATAAAAGAGTAAACTTTCTTGTTAGTTAGTAACATATCATATAGATATCTGCCTTTTATTTACTTAAAAAAACCCACATTTTTAGATGTAAATGTGTTTGAACTGATGAACTGACAAAAGACCAAATCTATAAATTTTTCAAATTATTTTACATGTTTTTCTAAGTATTCCTGATTTAAAACAAATTATAGTTTTAGACATCTTTTAATTGATCATAGTTGATTTTAAACTTATTTAACCAGTACATATAAAACATTTTGACAATTAATTGGATTACAGTCTCTAGTATACTAGATACTTGTTGATTTCTTTGGTATTGAATTTCTTATAGGGATTATGATAGCCATTACCATGTAGCATTTTAATTCAATTTATATGTATTTAGTAAAAACTACCTCAAGGGCACTGTCACAAATTAAAGAACACAGTTATCTGCCCCTAGTCGTCAATTTTTGACTGATTACTTTATAGAGTATCTGGTGTCATTTCTGTTTATAATCTCCTGGCTATCACAGTATGTGTTTATCATTAAAGAGCTGCTTATAGATATTAAAGTATTATACGTTTTTATTTCAATTACAATGTCATTGTAGTAAAATATATACATGTATGTGTTTATAGTGAACATTTCTCTCTCAAAATGGTACATTTTCCTTTCTGAGTTTGTGTTACAATTTTACAGCAATATTTTAATACTTGTAAGTAATTTTAATAGCAATAGATATGTAAACTTGACAGAAAAATTGCTTTCACCACCCATTCAATTATATAATAAGAAACAGCATATAAGGGTTTCCACAAGAATTTATGGATCATTACTCCTCAACAAGAAAAATGACCAATAAATTAAACAAAAAACTCTTAAACATTTGATAAAATTAGATTAAAATGAGTAACAATTTATTAAAAAAATCTGTTGACTGTTGCATGTATACTTCTCCCTTTTAATAGTAAGATTTTTCATTGGAAAACCTGGTTAACTCAAACATTAAAAAAAAAAACACATATACACACATAAGTAAACCATAATATGTATCACTGCAAGTAAACTGTCACCCTAGATTTGTTTAGCTGCTTTGCCCCAAAAAATATAAAACAGACAAAAATGATTGATTGTCATATTAATGCGTTCTTTTGATAAATATTACTTACTGGGTGTGTCTTAAACTCTACTGGTAAAAACAAACAAAAAGACTGAACACTGTATGCTATTTCTACAAATTTAGGGGAAGAAATTGACGAGTTAGACATCATTATCTTCTTAAATATGAGATATTCAGATGATGGTACTTATTCTGAACATGAACCTAATCTAACAACTAAATACTTTGCTTTGCTGAAGCCTGAAAAGTTTCACTACATCCATCACATGCAGGACTAAAAATGAAAAATTTAAACTCTAATTAACCATTGTTTATCCATTTTTACCATGTTTTGTAAGAAATTCATGAAAGGAAGCACCCATTTGTAGTTGATAAATTTGAACTTTTGTCAGGAAAAACATTTAAATGTTTAAAACATTTTGCCACCATCTGCAGCTTTAACAGATACTTTTTTTAACCTAACAGATTAAGCTGAAGTAACATCATCACTTAGAAAGCATTTGGAATTAATTTGAAGGGATGTAATGACTTCCTCAAGAGTTCTTCTCCTGTCAATACTTATAACACAGTTGTTCTTTAACAGATGCAATTTTACAAAACATAAACTCTCATTATCTGGATATGAAAAGCATTTTCCACCAATTAAATAAAATGTTTTGATTTTGCTTCTGGAGTTTTCTTGTCAGGAGTATTTATGTTAAAAGTGATACTGAAATTCTGAAGTCTGTTTCAAAGATGTGTTGATTGAAGATGATGCTTTTGAATTTTTCCACTGAAGAATTTAAAGAGCATCTGAGAAAAACTGTAGACATGAAACTAGAAGCCATAAGTAGAGTCCACAACTAAACATCAACTTGACTGTGTATGATTTAATTTTCTTATAGTAACCCTATTCCTGTCCACCACAATACATGTTATTGCTTTGGTTATTGTACTGTTTTTATTTCATTCTTTTTTATTTATACAAGTATGTTTTTTTTTTTACCTAAAATGATTAGCACTTACTTTTTAAGACCCAGGATAATATTTCTGTTGTTTTTAAAGATGTAATAAAATATAAAAAAAAGGTAACTTACCGATAATCAAGTAACTTTTCCAGCAGATTTGTAACAGATACAATAAACTGGGAACCAGTATCCTTCAAAGCTGGCTCTGACTGGACACGCTCCAAAAGTCTGTTAAAAAATTTCATTTTTAATTACTTATGCAAATTAATGAGCTAATATGATAACAAATCAAGATTTTTTTTAAAACGCACACACCATGATGCTGACATTAATCCAGTAAAATCAATATCTACTTTCACAGAGACTTATTAATGGTCAAGTTATATATCTTCAGTCTCTCTTTTACTCCAAGGAGATCATTGAATTGTCACTTATTGTAAATTTCCAATCAATTCATTGTCTGTCATAGCCAAATTAACCTCTGAATGCCCCCAATCAACAGCACAATTTCGTTTTGGACACTTAATAAATTCTTCTTTATGTTGCATCTATTCCAGACTGCTAGCATTTATTTGTTAGCATGCAACTCTCAAAACAAGTTCTGCCAATAAATTAGTATACTATTTCCTTAAACAAGAACAGTATAATTGAAAACTGATCTGTTGGGCAGTTTTTTTAAATAAATTGTCACTATCACTTGTTAGCTTATCCTTTAAATTTTTGTGGCATGAAATTTGTTAAGTTGTATATAAACATATATTCCATATTATGTAAAATTAGGTAGATTTATTCCTCTGCTAAAATTGTTTGTCAACAAATCAGTTCAATGGACTATAATCAATACATTTTGATTGGTTCCAGGTAAATACCAATGATGTCATTACGGGTGACAAATCCTTGATTACCCTAAACACTCTCTAGGCAAACATAGATGTTGCATTACAAATTCAGTGTAAATTTAAGTTAACTAATCCATCACTACAATTTCCAACAAATAAGAAAGGCAATGCCTTATTCTTTTTTTCTAAATATCGTAGAAAGAATTTTTTAAAAGAATCCCAAATTAATCTGTTCTAATTAACTGTAAGCTAAGATTCTGGAAGAAGTGTAAGGTTGTAAACTACTTCATAGCCTGATCATAGTCATGTAAATATTAGCCGGTAAATTGCTCCTATAAGCCTCAATGTAGCATTGATCTATACTGGGAAATAATTGGAAAAATAAACTGGTCTTCCTGCATGATAAAAATAACTTCAAACACATGTGCAAAACTCCAGGGGAGGGGCAGAGTAGTTCCTTGCCCTCAAGGAGAGATTTTTATGTTGTTTTCTAGATTAAAAAAACATCTGTTTTTGATGTTATTTTAACTCTATTTGAAGTACCTCAATTTTTATGTTCATGTTTTCTTGTAAATCAAAATATGTCATAATTTTATGGTTTTAATTACTTTAGAATAAATGTGTTAAATTTTAGAACTCCAGTTTTCTGAATGCTGTTTTATGTAATCAATTAGACCCCTTCAGTTTAAAAGGTAGGCACTGGTGATATAATATGGCCCCAGAGAATTTAAATAAATAAAAAAAAAATACTGAAATATAACTCTTATAGCACTGACAAAGATATTTACATGATTTTTTTTTAGACCCATTCAAGATAGACTTGGCTTTTAGAATACAAAAATTGATTGGTACACATTTAATGAACTGCTTATGCGGTGAAACCTTTTCTTTCTTTGATAATCACAGTGAAACACACAGTTTTATATTCAGTGGAACCAACACAACTGTCATTTTTCATAATACCAAGTTTTGATATAAATTTTACATCCATGATTGACATTTTACTTTGGTATTAAATTATTGCCTGGAAAAAAGGCAACAGAAATATTATAATGTCAAGGGACTGAAGACGACCCCAAATACAGCTTAACAAAAGTCCTGCCTTTCATTTTATAGAATTAATTAATTTTGTACCTCTTCCAACAGGCCAGCTTATTAGCGATTTATTTTGTCTCTGATTTTTCTTTTCAATAGTTTTATATAACTTATACTTTATTCAGAGCCATTTTTCTTACGAACTTGCAATGAACAATTTAAAAAATAATCAACTACTACCTTTTTTCTTTACTTGTGTATCTACACATATGAGAGACATTTTACTGAATCTTGTTTTTTATACAATATTTCTACCATAGATATATGAAATATGACAGTTTTGAATGCACTGTCAAAATCCACCAAAGACCAAAGGACTAGGATATACACATCTGTAGATCACTTTACTGTTTTCAACAATGAGCAAAACCTATACTGTATGGCAAGCTACAACAGCCTCTGCATGACAAAATGTGAAACAAATCAAACTAGAAAATCAATCTAAGACTTCCTTCTAACAAGTCAAAAACTAAAGCAACCATGATAACAATTGATAAGACTCCTTTGGTCTCTGGTGGATATTTGTCTCATCAGCAATCATGCCACATCTCTGTATAATATATAAACCGGTATTCATACTGATGTCAAGTCTTTGGATATCTCTACAACTCTATGCAGGGCAAAACAAAAATCCAAGAGCTTTTCATAAGGTTCATCATTTACCTATGGAAGTATTATATAAATAGCATGGCAACTTCTAGTTCTAGACTTAGTTTCTATCATGTTGGATTGCTGTCTTAAATGTGTTTATCTCACATCTCCTTTAATTAATCACACTTTCCCCAGCTAATATGATTTAGCAAGTTAAACATGGTGGATTTGAGTTAGCTCTTTAATATGAAAGTGTCATTGCAGTTGCAAATAAGTTAATAGTCTCCAGCTGTTTAGCATATATATCATCTGGAAACCTTAACTACTGGTAGAATCATTCATGCATAAAATTTAGGTCAATAGACTGACATGAATCAAATTAAGCATAAAATGTAGGTCAGAGTGACCTAAATGTTGTACATGCCTTTATCTTTACCAGTTTTCAAGACAGTCAGCTTACTCTTCTCTTATTCTATTGCACAAGTCAAGTTGACACAAGTTTTGTATGGAGCTTTGATACTAACCAAGACATATCAACTGATGAAATTTCATTCTCTGTCTAGAAATTGATTAGCTCTTAACCTTAAGTCAAAACCTTTAATAAGCCATTCATACAGAAAATCTAGGTAAAGGCCACCCAATTATTTTTATACAGCTGAGTTGATTATAACTGAAAAAAAATCTTACATGGATGGCATATAGAATGAATGCCAAACTATGATAATGCGTAAAATAAAAGTATTAACCTTAGTTCCATAAACAAGTCTGGATGCACTGTAAGAGAATCAAATGTAATCTGCCTTAAATTTGATAGCATTATGTAAACGTTATTCAACTTAATTAAGAACTGCATTTTATATGACATTAAAGCTTTGTGATGTAAAATGAAACCTTAATTATGTTGGCCTTTTTCTAAATGATCCAGGGAGAAAGAAATGATTAAAATCTAGAAATATCTGAACCTATGGAATTACTACTTTGGTTTCACATCTTTTGAAACATTTAGATTTTTCTACCAAGAACTATTCATACAAGAACATTTTTTCATCCTATTTAGCTTCATAAAACCCCTGATATTACGCCTCTTTAATATAGTGAATTATTGGTAATTTTCTTGTAAAATGCAAAATATCTGGCAAAACTTCAACATCAACATCCTCCTCCTATAAATACCTTCACATGGTCAAACTCAATGGTTTGGCTCTTTTACAAAGTATGTCATAATCTTAAAATATGTTTTATGTTAAAAGTTATATACACAATTTGTACAATAAACTTATTGATTATAAACAAGAGATTCTACTCTGATTCTCTCAAGATTCAAGGCTACTGTGATCTCAAAATGTGTTGTATAAATATTTATAAATACTAATAAAATATCACTTTTTTCGTTTGTTGTGAAACATTGTAAATATAGCTATAAGGTAGAATGCATCCTATTTCAGAATCTTCTTCCTTCTAGGCAAATGCATTTTCTGCAACTAAACTCTATATTTTCATTTTTTCCAATAATTCTTGGCAGATAAAACATTTCCTCTTAAAATGATGAGAGAATTTATAGACAAATATTTTTACATAAAACTGCTATTGATTTGCTTTAAAATAAAATCTATCTATAATAAAAATAAATTGATTAGATTATTAAATTTACCTTGAAAGTCTTCGTTGTTTTAAACTTTTTGGTCTCTGGGGAAAAGAAAAACTACATGACCGTATCAATTTATCCTTTGTAACTTTTTCTGGATACATGCTTTATTTCTCAACAAAGCATAACTATCAACACAATTGAATAATTTCTACAAATCAGGCACTTATACCACTATATAGGATAAATAGCTCCACAACGCGGTCAACTTTTTAAATATCATCTATTGTTGATTTCCATAAATATCAAAAACTGACGCTATAAGTACGACCTACAAACTCTAGCAGATATTGAAGTCCCGATGGTTCAGTTAAGTATTATTTAAAGGGAAGATAATTACACCCTATTGAGAAAACCTTGAAGATTACTTCAAAAAGGTGTTATCATGCTGTAGGGGATTTTAATGTGAATCCATAACTGTTTACCTTTATCAATACATAATTGACCAGGTATGATCAGCGATAAAAAACAACAATAAGAACCAAATTTTTACTATTGATAAGATCTAAGTGATTTCCTGTTTGCTAATTGTTCAAAAAAGATATTCATTCAAAAACTAAGTGCAGATGAAACTGATACACATGCAAAGGCATTTGAAACAAAATGTTCTCCTTTGTTTTTTCAATAGCAAACCAAAAAATTCTTTTGTTTAATTTAAGACATATCTATTTTTTCTCAAAAAAGGAAGCTTTTTCTACACTGCATTTGCAATAAGTTCATTTTTGTAAATTACTGTATAAAATATATCTATCTATTCTCCTTAATATTCTTATTTAATTCCTTCATTAACTTGGACTTGTATTAGTCCCAGATTTTGAGCAAACATTATAGGGGATACATGTATATGCACTTTCAATTTAAAAAATATTTAAATACTTTTTTTTTCAAACAAAATAATAATTAATAAAACTCTAACCTGTTTATTAACTTCATCTCTATTAACATGTACTTTCAAGTTATAAGATTTATCTGAAGAATGTTTTTTTTCCTTCAAACAATATATATACAAGACAGTACATACGAATAAATAAACAAGATGTCAAATAAATAAACAAACT